TTTAGAGAGAGAGCATGCACGCGAGTGGGGGGAGGGACAGAAGGAGAGGGAGAGGGAGTCTCTAGGAGACTCCTTAGGGACTCAGTCTCAGAACCCTGAGATCATGACCTGAGCCGAAATCAAGAGTCGGATGCTCAACTGATCCACCCAGGAGCCCCATATACTGTCACTTTTGCTTTCTCTTTTCTGCTCAGAATCCTTTTTAATATTTCTTACAGGGCTGGTTTAGTGATCATGAACTGCTTTAGTTTTTGTTTGTTTGTGAATCTCTGTCTCTTCTTTTATACAGAATGATAGCTTTGCTGTATAGAGTATTCTTGGCTCCAGATTTTTCCCCTTCAGCACTTTGAATAGATCATGCCACTCCCTTTTGGCTTGCAAAGTTTCTGTTGAAAAATGTCCTGCTAGCCTTATGATTTTTCCTTTGTAAGTTAAGGATTTCTTTAGTCTTACTGCTTTTGAGATTTTTTTCTTTGTTACTACCTTTTGCAAATTTAATTACAGTATGTCTTGGTATCACTCTGCTTTTGTTTATTCTTTGGGGGGGGTTTCTGTGCCTCTTGGATCTGGATTTTGCTTCCTTCCCTAGATGGGCATGTTTTTTAACTATTATTTCTTGAAATAAATGTTCTTCCCCCACCCCTTTCTCTCTCTTCTTCTTTTGGGCCTCCTGTTATTTGAACGTTATTACATTTGATGGATTCACTGAGTTCCCTAAGTCTATTCTTTTGTTGCATAGTTCTTTTGTCTCTCTTTTGTTCAGCTTGATTCCTTTCTACTACTTTCTTCCCAGTCAGTAATTCATTTCTCTGCTTCTTCTCTCCTGCTGTTCTTTTCATTAAGTGTGTTTCCCATTTCATGTATTGTGTCCTTTATCTCTGCTATGTCTTTCCTTATCTCTGTATTAAGGGTCTCACTCATATCTTCCACTCTTCTCAAGTCCAGTGAGTTTCCTTATCATTTTTTGCATTCTCTATCAGGCATGTTACTTATGTCTCTGGCTATGGCCTTGTCCAGTTCTTTCATCTGGGATAAGTTTTTGTCTCCTCATTTTTTTCTGGCTCTCTGAGTCTGTTTTTGTGTGTTAAGAAAGTCATGTGTCGTCTGCTCTTGAAAGTAGTGACTTTATGAGGTGCCTGGGTGCTGCAGTAGGTTGGGCATCCAACTCTTGGTTTCAGCTCCGGTTTTGATCTCAGGGTTGTGACGTTGAGCCCCATGTCGAGCTCCACATCAGACTCCCTCATTTTAGGAAAAGTCCTCCATGTCAGTCCAAAATCATTATGAACATATCTCTCTCTTGTTTTCCTCCAGCTTTGAACTTCCATTTTAATGTTGCCTCCTCATAGGTTGCTGTCTCTTTAAAGGCAACAACTCCCAGCTATCACTTGCCCTCCTGGCTTGCCCAGTGCTGAGTCAGCTGACCTCCAAAGCTCCAGGTTCTAAGCCCCACTGGTTTTACAAACTCATGGAATTCAACCTCTCTGGTTCTTAAAGCCATGTGTTATGGGATTAGTTTTCCTTGAGTACCTGTTTCTCAGCAATCTTTGTATGCACAGCTAGTCCCTACTGTAGGCAGCCTTCTTCACCTCTGACCTTCCTAACCTTTGAGGTGAAGCTTCTTCCCTATATTTAGTCGTGGAGTTTGTTCTGCCAGTCTTTGGATCACTCTCCAGTTTATTGACTTGGATGTGGATGATACCTAGTTGAAAACATGGGATGGGGTGAGCTCCGGGTCCTCCTATTCCACCATCTTGCCAAGCTCTGACTCTCTCTTCTGCCCATTTTGTAACTGGTTTATTTCTTGTGTTGAGTTGTATAATTTCTTTCTTTATTTTGGATAATAACCCTTTATTGGATATGTCATTTGCAAATATCTTCTCCCATTTAGTAAGTTGTTTTTCAGTTTCATTGATTGTTTCCATTGCCTTACAGAAACTTTTATTTTGATATAGTCCCAATAGTTCATTTCTGCTTTTATTTACCTTGCCTCAGGAGACATATTTAGAATAATGTTGGTACAGCCAATGTCACAGAAATTACTGCCTGTGTTCCCTTCTAGGATTTTTATGGTTTTAGGCCTCTCATTTAATTCTTTCATCCATTTTGAATTTGTTTTTGTGTATGGTGTATGAAAGTAGTCCAGTTTCATTCTTTTACATGTAACTGTCCAGTTTTACTAACACTATTTTTCAAAGAGACTTGTCTTTTCCAATTGCATATTCTTGTCTCTTTTGTTGAAGATTAATTGACCATATAATTGTGTGTTTATTTCTGGGCTTTCTATCCTGTTCTGTTCATCTGTGTGTCTGTTTTTGTGCCAGTATCATACTGTTTTGATTACAATGGCTTTGTGGTATAACTTGTGCAATTGTGACACCTCTAGCTTTGCTTTTCTTTTTGAAGATTGTTTTGGCTAATCAGGGATTTTTTGTGGTCACATACAAATTTTAGAATATTTTGTTCTAGTTCTCTGAAAAATGTTGTTACTTTGATAGGGTTTGCATGAAATGTATAGATTGCTTTGCGTAGTATGGTCATTTTAACGGTATTTGTTCTTTCAATCCATGAGCATGGAATATCTTTCCATTTCTTTGTGTCATCTTCATCTTTCATCAGTATTTTGTAGTTTTCAGAGTACAGGTCTTTTGCCTCTTTGGTAAGTTTATTCCGAGGTATTTTATCATTTTTGGTGCAGTTGTAAATATGATTGCTTTCTTTCTTTTTCTTTCTGGTAATTCATTATTAGTGTATTGAAATTCAACTGATTTCTATACATTGATTTTGTATCCTGCGACCTTAGTAAATTCATTTATCGGTTCTAGTAGTTTTTTCGTTTTTTTTTTTTTTTTTTAGGTTTTCTATATATAGTATCATGTCATCTACAAATAATGAAAGTTTTGCTTCTTCCTTACCGATTTGGATTCCTTTTATTTGTTTTTGTCATCTGATTGCTATGGCTAGGACTTCCAGTACTGTGTTGAATAAAAGTGGTGAGAGTAGACATCCTTGAATTTTTCCTGACCTTGGGGGGAAAGGTTTCAGTTTTTTATCATTGAGCATGATGTTATCTATTGATTTTTCACATATGACCTTTATTATGTTGAGGTATGTTCCCTATAAACCTATTTTATTGAGGATTTTCATCATGAAAGGATGTTGTGCTTTGTCATATGCTTTTTCTTCGTCTATTGAAATAATTATATGGTTCTTATTCTTTCTTATATTGATGTGTGTATCACATTGATTGATTTGTGAATATTGAACCACCCTTGCATCTCAGGAATAAATTCCACTTGATTGTAGTGAATGATTTTTTAAATGTGTTGTTGGATTCAGTTTGGTAGCATTTTGTTGAGTATTTTTGCATCCATGTTTATCGGGGATATTGGCTTGTAGTTTTTTTTTTTTGTAGTTTCTTAATCTGCTTTTGTATCCAGTTAATGCTGGTGTCATAGAATAAATTTTGAAGTTTTCCGTCCTCTTCTATTTTTTGCAATAGATTGAGAAGTCATATTCTCCCTTTTTAAAAGCTTAGTATATCATGTACATTTTATTGTGTCAGTAATATAATATTTTCAATTGTTATCTTAGAATATAGTCCCTTATATAGAGATATAACAATTTAATAATTTCTTCTGTTGTCATTTAGATTGTTGTTTTCTGTCTGTCAGTCTCTCTGTCTGCTAGTCTGTGTCTTCTTTAACTTTTTGTCTTTCTTCTTTTGTCTATCTGTCTGTGTGTTTCTCTCTGTAGCAAACACTCTTGTACACAGATCTTTATAAACATCCCTGATTCTTTTTTTTTTTTAAGATTTTATTTATTTGTTTGACAGACAGAGACACAGCGAGAGAGGGAACACAAGCAGGGGGAATGGGAGAGGGAGAAGCAGGCTTCCTGTGGAGCAGGGAGCCCAATGTGGGGCTCGATCCCAGGACCCTGGTATCATGACCTGAGCCAAAGGCAGATGCTTAACCGACTGAGCAACCCAGGTGCCCCATCCCTGATTCTTTTTAATGCTTCATTCCTAGAAGTAGAATTAATGGGTGAAAAAGTGACAAACAAAAAACAAACCAAAAAACCAAACTCATTAATACAGAGAATAAAAGTGGTTGGCAAAGGGGAAGTTGTTTTGTTGGGAGGGATGCACAGCAAAGGGAATATAGTCAAGGACATTGCAATAACGTTGTTTGGTGACAGATGGTGAGTACATTTACCATGGTGAGCACTGAGTAATGTATGGAATTGTTAATTCAGTGTGTTGGACACCTGAATTCAATGTAACTGTGCATGTTAATTATAATTCAATTTAAAATAAATTAATAAAACTAATGAAAATATATGAAGACAAAAAATTTTAAAATACAGGGGTGCCTGGATGGCTCTGTCTGTTAATCGTCTGCCTTTGGCTTGGGTCGTGATCCCAGGGTCCTGGGATCTAGCCCTGGGTCAGGCTCTCTGCTCAGCGGGGAGCTTGCTTCTCCCTCTCCCCTTGCTTATACTTTCTCTATCTCTCTCTGTCAAATAAACAAATAAAATCTTTAAAAAAATTTTTTAAACACATATTGCTAGATGGGCTGTCCAAAAAGGTTGGACCAGCATACATTTCCAATAGCAGTGCATTTTCTTTCGTTTAAAGAGCCAATTTGTGGGATTAAGAAAATTTTGGAAATGAATGACTGAACGATCTTTGCATTTTGGAAAAATAGAGTAACTTCTGATTTTTTGTCTTTTTTTGTCTTTTTATAAAAGTTGTATTCCTTTTTCTTTCCCATGGGGATCACATTTCTAATTCATATTTTGCTAATTTAACTCATATTTGCCATAGAATGGGTGTTAAGGCACTATTTCAATAGGGAAAAACAATCTTTTTATATTCTCAACAGTTTACACTATTTTTCCATATATTGAATATAAGCTCATCTAGATGTTCCTTAGTTGATTTGCAAAGAGAAGATAATAAATAACTGTGACTCTTAAATTGGTGACATGTTTGTGCCCAGGTGTCAGTATCTGGAGACAATATGGTGGAATGTCAACTGGAGACACACAACAACAAGATGGTCACCTTCAAATTTGATGTTGATGGTGATGCACCAGAGGATATTGCAGACTATATGGTAAGTATAATAAAACCAAATTATTTTCCCTTTAGCATTCTGTCTCCTTTTCCCCTCATATTCTCCCCTCATTTATTCAGAGTAATCACTTTTAGAGTACCATTAGTTTTTAAAATTTGCACAGAACTATATTACTTATGATCAAAAGTAAGCCACTGTAACGTCTTTCATTTCGCTATATTTATCTCTAAAATATGAGGGGGTTTTATTAAGAGGTTATCTAGGTCAATGATTCTTATCCTTGGCTGCATGTTAAAGTCACCTTAAGAGCTTTTTAAAAACAAATCCATTGCCTGGGTCCCTAATTAAAACAGAATCTTTGGACATAAGGCCTAAGCATCACTAGTTTGTAAAATACCCCAGGTAATTCTAATGTGTTAGCTACTGATATATATCATCTTACAAATAGGTGTTTAAGTAATGCTCATCATTTCTTTTAGTTTTCATATTTTCTTTGAATTGAGGCTTAAGTTAGTAGTTTTGCCCTTTTTTTAATGCGGGTAAGTAAGGGTGGAAGGAAGAGTACTTAATGCTTTTGTTTCTGACAGTTTTCTTTCTTTCTTTTTTTTTTTTTAAATATTTTATTTATTTATTTGAGAGAGAGAGAATGAGAGATGGAGAGCACGAGAGGGAAAAGGGTCAGAGGGAGAAGCAGACTCCCTGCCTAACAGGGAGCCCGATGCGGGACTCGATCCCGGGACTCCAGGATCATGACCTGAGCCGAAGGCAGTTGCTTAACCAACTGAGCCACCCAGGCGCCCCGACAGTTTTCTTTAGATATGCATTCCTGGAGAAACAGAATTAAACATTTTAAAAGTTAATGTTAGTTCTGCCTCTTGTTTTTTTTCAGTAAATATTTTATTGATCTAATAATTGTTATACAGGAAATAAAACTAAAATTCTTTAGTAACAGTTCTTCTTTTTTTAAAATTTACATATATTATTTGTTTCAAAAATACAGGTCTGTAATTCATCTGTCTTACACAATTCACAGCGCTCACCATGGCACGTACCTTCCCCAACATCCATCACCCAGCCACCCCATCCCTCCCATTCCCCCTCCACTTCAGTTCTGCCTCTTGTTTAACATAATATTTTCTGAACTCTCCAGTTCTTTATAACCTTTAGAGATGTTTCATTTTGTGATTTAAAAACTTGGGTTTGGGCATCCTAGTGGTAATCATAAATATTGCCTCAGTTATGTTCCTCAAATGATAATTTATAGAATGTGAGATGTTTTTAAAATGCTGGCTTTTTCTATGGTAGGTAGTTCCAATCTGACAAATGTCAGCAGTCTCAAAATAAGAATAAGTTAATGTTTTATGTGGCATTTTAGTGTGGTCTTTTTTTTTAAGATTTATTTATTTTAGAGAGCACAGGAGTGCAAGCCGGGGGAGGGGCAGAGGGAGAGAATCTCAAGCAGACTCCCCGCTGAGTGTGGAGCCTGATGCTGGGCTCAGTCTCAAGACCCTGAGATCATGACCTGGGCTGAAACCAAGTGTTGGATGCTAACTGACTAAGCCACCCAGGTGCCCCAGTGCTGGTTGTTTTTAATTCTGTTGTGGCCTTTGTATCTAAATACTTAATTTTCATTTACTTTTCTTTAAGGTAGTCACCATTGATACAATATTAAAATTTTGAGAAACTAAATTTAATAGACTTACTTTTACTTTTGGACAGGTTGAAGATAACTTTGTGCTAGAAAATGAGAAAGAAAAATTTGTAGAAGAATTGAGGGCTATTGTAGGTCAAGCCCAGGAGATCCTTCATGTCCACTCTGCTGCAGATAGAGCCATTGGAATTGACTCTATTATTGTGGAATCCAACAATAACCAAGTAAGAGCAGTTATTTAGCAAATAGATCTTCTCAGATATATATCAAGAACTTCTTTATTTATCTATTCATTTTTAATTCAGACAGGATCATCTGAACAAGTACAGATAAATTCTGCATCCACTCAAACCAGCAGTGAGTATTTTTCATAAAATTTACCATGTGGCTTTTGAAGCAAGACATTTGGAAACTTTAATTTACATACCTTCATTGGGAAAGATGTTAGCCAATAAAGGAAATTAATGAATTGTTAATGTAGGTTTTCCCACACTTGGACAGGCCTTTTTAGCCCAGATGTAAGAAGTAAAACCATTCTCCAGATTTACTTCAAGTGTTAATTTATTTCTGAGTTGTTGCATGGTATGTTACCAGAAAAGCAATCACAGTACTGATGACCTTTAACGGCTTTACTGTTTGAAATTAATTGGTAAGTTGTTTTTTTTTAACCACTGATATGATTTGGACAGGACCTTTCTTAACTAATATCACTATGTTCTAAGTTTGCCTCATGTTTTAATATAGTCATTTATATCTTGATTTCCTTCCACTAGTGTTACACTTCTACCTGCTGTGATCACTGATAAGTTTTTGTAAATCAGATACTAGCTAAACTTCCAGGGACTAAAAGTGGGGTCTTCTGTTTTCTTTTCTGATGACTTTATCTCTCCATTCTTTTCAGCTCTGGTCATGGTTATATTTAGAGTATCTGGGAGGGGGCGAAGAGCCATAGACAAATGAGGACCTGTGAAGGAATTATAACAACATGAAGAAGCAACAGGTGGTGTGGGAGTCATGAAATCAGATACCATTACCCTGAAATTTACTTTGTGTTAGGATGCCAAGGTCCTCCTCTGTTCTTTCTTATTAGGAGGAATTTGAGCAGATTTCTGACTGATAAAGTATGGTAAAGTTTATAAAAAAGAATTACTTATTTGAATAAGTTTACAAAGTAGGAATAAAGATGTGGGGACTTTATTTTTAAGTTGTCATATAGTAAAATTGATTTCTTCCTCTTGGTGTATAGTTCTATAAATTTTAATACTCATAGATTTGTGTAAGCATCATCATAATCAGGATGCAGAACAGGAGATATAGGTTTTATTGGAGAAAGTGCTTTCCAATTTTTTCCAAAATGTGCCCTGCTTCTAATTGCTATTGATATAATGTCTGTTTCATAGATTTTAAAATCCTTCCCTAACAATATCTTGTGCTTAGTCCTTTAGAGTATTTGCCAGCGTTGGGAGGTCTGGTCTTATAAATTACACATATCCTAGTGCTGTTGGAAATGGAGATACAAGACAAATTGGTATTTTAACATGGTTTCCTTAATAGGGTAAACATGTTGACAATTGCTTAGCATATTGATTTTTGCTAATTCTTTCTACAGATGAATCTGCTCCACAGTCATCCCCAGTTGGTCGGTGGCGATTCTGTATCAATCAAACAATAAGAAACCGTGAGGCTCAATCTCCTCCTTCTCTTCAGCAGTCCATGTCTACAGTTCCTGGGCTATCTCTAGTTCCTGGTAAGTGTTCATTGTCTGCCAACTTTCTCCAGACTTGGAGGAGTTACAAAATATATACCATATCTTTAATTTGTGTTCATGGGTATTTTATTCTTATGAGAATTTTCATAAGCATTATTGAAGGTATTATTATTAGGGTATAACTTAAGCCATTTTAAAATGTAATATTTTTCAAATATAATATTTATGGAAAAAAATAAAGTTTTTATTCCTTGACAGGTTGAATTCTGTGTATTTTGAGTCTTATTTACAAGACTTATTCACACAGGTTCTTGTTTGTCCCTTGTTCCTCTTATCCCCTTTGAGTTTGGTTACTAATCCATGCTTTGTATTTATTAATATGTGCCTAGCTATTCTTTGTTATTGTTCCAGGTCCAAGAACCACAAATAATAAGGAAATATCACAGGACACACTGCCCACTCTAGAAAGTAATCCATGCCAGCGTGTATTTTTTGCCTCCAAATCAGAACTCAAGGATGTAGTTGATGGTAAGATGTCTGAATATGCCAGTGTAGAAACTAAGCAGCCAGCTTTATTTTATCGAGTGGAAGATGACAGGCAGATAATGGCACCAGTTACTAGCAGTTCAAGTTACACTGCTACTTCAGTTCGTACAGTTCCAGTTGAATGTGAGGGACTTACCAACCAAGCAGGCATATTTCTACCTGTATATCCATGTCACCAAGCTGCCAGTCAGGCCGATGTACTTATGGTCCCTCCTGGCGAGTCAACTCAGATTGCTGGTAACTCTCTTACAACTCTGGCATTTATGTCTGATCAAAAGCCTCAATCCTTAGCAGTGCAACAGCCAACTATGGATGCAGAGTTTATTTCCCAAGAAGGAGAAACCACAATGAACACTGAAGCGAGTTCTCCTAAGATGGTCATTCCCACTCAGACCCCTGGCCTTGAACTGACTACCCTTCTACCCACTACTTTCCTGGAATCAGATGGGGAAAGACCTCCAAAAATGGAGTTTGCAGACAACCGAATTAAAACTCTGGATGAAAAATTAAGAAACTTGCTCTACCAGGAGCATAGCATATCTAGCATCTATCCTGAGAGTCAGAAGGATACCCAAAGCATAGACTCTCCATTTTCTTCCTCTGCTGAAGATACACTCTCATGTCCAGTGCCAGAAGTCATAGGCATCAGTCACAGTGGAATTCAAGATAGTCCTGCACAGTCCCCTAATTTTCAGCAGACAGGCTCTAAGATTCTGTCCAATGTGGCTGCAAGTCAGCCTGCTAACATATCAGTATTCAAAAGGGACCTGAATGTGATAACTTCTATACCCAGCGAATTATATTTACATGTAAGTATTATTCTTTCTAATCAATTTCTTATCCTTGTACTTTTAAAGAAATTCCCTCTTTTCTAAAGTTATATCCTTTGAAGTGAAATTGTCTATGCCACAGGATTCTGAGGTCACAGGTATTTAAGAAGGCCATGATTTTGGCTGCAGGTGCCCGGAATTTCTAGATAGAGATGACAGAGGTATCTTTGGTGAGAGAGCCCTCTGGTGAATTAGCTAGGAACTTGCAAGGATGTCATTTTTGTATTAGTGACAGAACAGGACTGATTTATAGATTGTTTTAGTGGATAGGAAGAACTGACTTTTAGATTTCCACTTAAAAGTGCCCATTACCAATCTCCTTTCTTAAAAGTTTATGGTTTTAGTTTAATCTTGTTTGGTGGGTTTTATTTGAAAAAAAAAACTTATTAATTTTTTAAGTTTTTATTTAAATTCTAGTTCACATCCAGTGTAATATTTGTTCAGGTGTATAATATAGTGATTCAACACTTCCACCCAATATCCTGTGCTCATCACAAGTGCCCTTCTTAATCCTTATCGCCTACTTAGCCCCTCCCTCCACCCACTTCCTCTCTGGTAACCATCACTTTGTTCACTAGAGTTAAGAGTCTGATTCTTGGTTTGCCTCCTCCCCTAACCCGTGTTCCTTTGTTTTGTTTCTTAAATTCCACATATGAGTGAAATCATATGGCGTTTTTTTTAAGTTATGTAACATAGGAACTTAATTTCCCTTTTCTATTCCTTCAGATCACAGGAGTAATGACTATCTGGTGTTTATCCACTATTTGGTACTTATCCTTCTTAAGCTTACATGGATCTATTTACATACCTATAACTTTTTCTAAAAAATTTTATTTATTTATTTGACAGAGAGAGACACAGTGAGAGAGGGAACATAAGCAGGGGGAGTGGGAGAAGCAGGCTTCCCGCGGAGCAGAGAGCCCAGTGCGAGGCTCGATCCCAGGACCCTGGGATCATGACCTGAGTCGAAGGCAGACACTTAATGACTGAGCCACCCAAGCATCCCCTACATTATCTATAACTTTTTATTTACAAAAATAGGATTGTGCTATATGCATATTGGTCTGCAAATTTATCTTGTCATTTTTACAGTATATCATAGATATATTTCTAAATCTTCACCGCTGTATCTCTTTATTATTATTATTATACAAGTAGTATATGTGTGTATATAAAATAAAATCCATCCTACTTCCAAACCTATAGACATAGCTGGTAATGAATCTTTCCAGACATAGTTTTAATTAATATACAAATATGTGTATAATCATACTTCTCTTTTTTAAAGATTTTATTTATTTATTTGAGAGAGAAAGAGAGCATGAGCAGGGGGAGGGGTAGAGGGACAAGGAGACTCCCGGCTGAGTGGGGAGCCCAACTTGGGGCTAGATCCCCCCCAAGATCATGACCTGAGCTGAAGTCAGATGCTTAACCGACTGAGCTACCTAGATGCCCTAATCATACTTCTTTATTACATATTTACAAAGACATAGATATATATGTTATCTACATCTGTTTCTCTACATACATGTGCTGTTCTGCATTTTTTTCAATTATGAACATTTACCCATGGTGGTACACGTAGTTCCACCTCACATTTTTTATTATTTTATTTTTTAGTTTTTAGTTTTTTAAAGATTTTATTTATTTATTTGACAGAGAGAGACACAGTGAGAGAAGGAACACAAGCAGGGAGAGTGGGAGAGGGGAGAGCAGGCTTCCCGCCGAGCAAGGAGCCCGATGTGGGGCTCGATCCCAGGACTCTGGGATCATGACCTGAGCCGAAGACAGACGCCCAACGACTGAGCCACCCAGGCGCCCCACGTTTTTTATTTTTTTAAAGATTTTACTTCTTTATTTGACAGAGACACAGTGAGAAAAGGAACACAAGCAGGGGGAGTGGGAGAGGGAGAAGCAGGCTTCCCGCCGGGCAGGGAGCCTGATGCAGGGCTCGATCCCAGTACCCTGGGATCATGACCTGAGCCGAAGGCAGGCGCTTAACGACTGAGCTACCCAGGCGCCCCTCACTTATGTTTTTTAAACAATGGCATAATATTCCCTTGAATAGATATAACTTAAAGATTTATATTGTTGTAAACTAGTAATTTTAAATTATGTAATTAATATATAAACAGGAAAGCAATTTGGAAGGATAGAAAATGAAAAGTAATTATGTTAACAACTTCTTATACCCCATTCTACTCCCCAAACACTCTTAAGTTCCTGGTTTTAATTCTTGAAGTCATTGCCATTAATAACTTGTAAATAATATACTTATTTATCTATTTTTTGATTTAATAATTTTCAGCAATACCTAATAATTCACTGCTATGAAGGATGAGGAAATTATATATTTTCCCTTTCCTCTTCTTTCCCATATACCTCCCAGTTTTTATTACTTGTATTACTTCTTAATACTGGCAAGGTTTATAACATCTACATTTTTTTCCTGTAACACTGGCTGGGCTTTGTCTGTAGGTTGATTTGAAGAATTGAAGGTCAGTAACCAGCATTTATATTATGATTATATGTGTTATCTGATGATCATGTAATAATATTAGAACCATAAAAAAATGAAATATAATTTTCTGTCATTTAAATTTTGTTGCTCAAAGGATAGCCTTTCAAGTGTGAAGGTCAAATGGATTCTTTTGTTTAAGTGTCCATTGCTACTTCTGGGTCAAATTTACTTGCCACTCTTTCTGATGTCCTAGAATTCCTTCCCCCCCCCCGAAATGCTTCTATGAGTAATATTTTTAAATAAGTTGTATGAGTGACTAATTTGTTTTTTTTTTTAAGTCCAAAATTGCCTTTGTTTTGCTTCACACTTGATTAAGTATACATGGTAGGGTCATTTTGAGTTAATTTTTGTATATGGTGTGATATAAGGGTTCACCTTCATTCTTTTGCATCTGACTATCCAGTTGTTCCAGCACCATTGTTATTCTCTTTGTTGTTATTATCAATGGAATTGTTTTCTTAATTTCCTTTTCAGATTTTTCTTTGCTATTGTATAGAAATACAACTAATTTTTAAGTGTTGATGTATCCTTCAATTTTGCTGAGTTTGTATATCATTTAGGATTTTCTGTATAATATATAAGATCATATCGTCTGTAAAAAGAGATAGTTTATTCATTTCCTGTTTTTCTTATCTATTAACTTTTCATTGCATGCTTTCCATCTCTTTGTCCTTTTGCTTTTTGTACTGGGAGAATTTCTCAATTTTGAAGCTGTTTCAGTTTCCTATGCAGCTATTTTTTTTGTCAAGGATTCTATTTTTTTTTATTTTAATTATTTTTATTTTTTTTTCACTTTTTTAGAGAGGGGAAGAGAGAAGGGCAGAGGGAGAGGGAGAGAGAGAATCTTAAGCAGGCTCCACACCCAGCACACAGCCCAATGCGGGGCTCAATCTCACAACCCTGAGATCATGATCTGAGCTGAAATCAAGAGTTGGATGCTTAATCCACTGAGCCACCCAGGCGCCCCAAGGATTATATTTTTAATTTTCAGTAACTGTAGTTCATTTTTCTTATGGTTGTATTATCTTCACATATCTTTCTGGAGATATTAAGTATTATTCTATGTTATTGATGCTATTTCCTTGGCTATTCTTCTTATTATTGAATTTAGTGTTTTCTTTCTTTTTTAAAATTTTTATTTATTTACTTTTTATGTAGGCGTCACACACACCCAGTGTGGGGCCTCAACTCATGACCCTGAGATCAAGAGTCACACACTCTACTGACTGAGCCAGCCAGGTGCCCCTATTGTTTGCTTATAGTGTTGATTTCCCATAAGTGGTGATTCTTAGATTCATCTTTTCTTTTTCCCCTGTAAGATTCCTTGTTTGTCTCTCTAAATGCCATATATAATTATTGTAGCCTTCCTCCTGTAATTGTGGGAAAGGCATGGGACATGCTTCTTGGCTCTGAATATTACAGCTTTTCTCGAAATGCTGCCTAGAGGGTAGCTTAATAATCTTCAAAGCTGGAAGGGCTTTCCCTTCCTCCTGGATGTTGTCTCCTTCCTACATTGCTGATTGGGCCACAGACATTTTCCTCTCACCAGTCTTATTTGGGAGCAGATGGCTCTGCTGTCTTTTGCTTGCTGTGGAGGTAGGGAGGGAAAGAAGAACTGCCTGGTTATTCTTTCTCTGGTACCCCAACCAGTTTAGTCTCCCATTCAGTGAGTAAGTCAAGATCTCTTTTTGTGAAGCTCAAATTCTAGTCAGGGCAGATAGACCCTAAATAAATAAATAAAGGAAAGGGCTATTATAGAATGAGGAGGGGATTACTTTATATAAGGGGTCAGGGAGGAACTTGTGTGTGGTGGTAACATTCGTAGGTGGAGACCTGCTCAAGGAACCAAAAGAAGTCCAGGAAGTAGGAGAGTGTTATGAGATGATGTTGAGGCAGATAGGAGACAGATTGGGTACAGCTTTGTAAGCGTTCTAGCCAACCACTCTTCCTTTTGGTTGGCCAGGGCTCTCTCTCACTGCCTAGATCTGCCGCCCAAGTTTGCAGCATTTTGAAATAGTTCCTGCATGTGTCATGGGCTGCTTTTTCCTCCTTTAATTATATATGCCTGTGTCTATGTCTCTTTTTTCTGTCATATCTATGGATTTGGATTGATAAGGTAGGCTAGAACTTGTACTTAACTTACCATCTTGATCAGTTATTACTTATTAAAAATTTTCTGTAATTTCAGTGGGACCAATGCAGCATTTTCTAAATTTAATATTATTGAAAAATTTTTTCTCTTCATGAAAGTAGCATTATTACTAGTCCAGAATGAGCTTTTTTTTTTTTCCAAAATAGGACTTTGGAAAATAAGAACTAATTGTTCAGAATTTTAATAACTGCTGACCTGCCCTGAGTGTTAATGCTTATTCAAGACTCTGGTATACTTAATGCCACTTAGGCTGTCTTCCTGCAGACAAATGCTAAATCCCATTCTTTGAACTTTTTAATACTCATTTAATTCTAGATTAGTAGAGATGATTCTCATGTTTCCCAAAGTTGTGTGTTTTTGTATTAATTATTATAGAGGATTTATTTTTAAAGTACTCATTTAGAATACAACAGTTAATTCTGACATTTTGTTGTCAGAGTGATGGGAGGACAAGAAGAGAGTGATTTTATAGCCAGCTGTGGCCTGATGTTAACAAGTTTTAGAGCAAGAATTTGAAATAATTTCAAGGCCCATTGTAAATATCTGTGTGCTTACATAAAGTAAGAAATTTGATTTGGTAATATTTCTCTATAAATCTAAATGCCTAGATATCTTGTTTTTCTATGTTATCATGTATGTTAGGCATCTTTCACTCTCAAATAATATGAGCATAAATGAAAGTTTCATTTTAAGAGCATAGGGTTTCAGTAACCTCTTTTAGTAAATAAAGCATATGAAGGAATAATTTTCATTTTCATTTTTCAAAGTTGCTATAATGAAAAATATTCTAGGGTGGAAGATTAATATTCTGCTCTGTATTTATCTGAAGTCCAAATAATATTTTTAAAGAAAGAGGAAGGATTAATTCCTATAAGTTGAATACTGCAGATTCACTCTGATATGCAGGCAGACATAGCATTCTGTTTTTGATTACTGATTAGTCCATGCAAGAAACTCCAATGGTATAAAAAACTGATTCATCTTACGTAAATTATCACCATTTTGGTTTTTCTCTTTTTGTCTCCATTAGGAGATGTCCCCAGATGCTTCACTTCCAGGGGATCCAGAGGCCTATCCTGCTGCTGTGTCAAGCGGTGGAGCCATTCATCTGCAGACAGGAGGTGGATATTTTGGCCTAAGCTTTACTTGTCCTAGTCTCAAAAATCCTATTAGCAAGAAATCCTGGACTCGCAAATTAAAAAGCTGGGCATACAGGCTACGGCAGTCAACCAGCTTTTTCAAGAGATCAAAAGTCCGTCAAGGTAGTGTGCTTACAGTCAGGGACATAGACTAGGTAACATCATTTTTCATTTACTTCTGTTTTTTTTTGTTTGTTTGTTTGTTCATATACAAACCTTACCACTTTTTCCACGTAGCCCATGTATGTGACATGTCCCATTAATGTCATTGCCATTTTATTTTTCCTTTTGTAACTAATTTGGTTTTACAGTTACTCATTTCATGTAGATACTAAGTCTCGGGATAAATCTTACAATGTCTGATTTTAAGTTAGGGACTTCTACAGTGTTGCTTATTACATTAACACTTTTTAATTATCTAGCAGGGGTTAAGCTTTTTCTACTTTTCTTCATTTTTTGGTAATGTAAACAGATTTAGTCTTAACAAACAATTTTCTCTTTTCTGCTTACAATTGCACAAAACTTGCAGTGGAAGCAGAAGATACGAGATCAGCAGTTGCTCCTGATCCCATTCCTCTGACGGGAGAGTCCTCGGCTGATACTAGGGCTTTGAGTAGATGTAAAGCGATGAGTGGATCATTTCAGCGGGGTCGGTTCCAGGTTTGTGTCTTTGGTTGAATCTTTATCTACAAGGGCATTGTACAAGATAATAGCATTGAAGATCTTGGTATTTATATGATACTTATTTTAAATGTATATTATTGTCATATTTAATTTTTTCCCCTAATACCCATCCCCTCACCTTTTGTAGACTTCCAGTAAAGGTGAATCTAAAGAAATGGGGATTTTAGTAGCTGGAAAAGAGCACAGAAATGAGTCATCATTTTTCAGTGGGTGGTTGGGTCACCTTTTTTATAAATCTATTTCTTGTCCTTTAGAATCTCAGCAACTTGAATTATTGAATTTTTTTAAAGTGTGGAATTTTGTTTGAGCAATTTGAAGCCAACTCTTTTTACTCAAGGGGCCTAATTGAAAGACTTTGAAATGAGAATTATAGATGGGGTTTTTAAGTTTGGGTATTATCGATATGTGTACATCACAGCAGACCATCCACTTATCTGTGCCATATTTTGATATTGAATTTCTTCATGGGTTTACTCTGGTTAGAGCCAGCCACTTTTGCCTTTTTGTATCTCAGGTGATTACAGTTCCTCAGCAGCAGTCAGTGAAAGTGACATCTTTTGGAATAGAACACACACCAGCATTCCATAAAATGACAACCCATTCTAGTGAAGAAGCTCTAGCCTTTACGGACAGAGCAAAGTCTCAATTAGTGGAAATGGAACCTGCCACGCACAATCCACCGACTTCACTTTCTTCTCAGAAGTTACGAGCTCTTCATGAAACCTTCAAAGAAGGTAAAAGAATTCCCAAACAAGGTTACAACTTCTCATCTTTCAGCACAGCTTGTGAGACTGATGTATCTTCAATGACCCCAGAAAAAGAGTTGGAAGAGAACTCAGCCACGGGAAGTAGTATGCATTCTGGACTTGAACTGTTGTTTAAAGAGAGAGAGATACTTACTGCTGGGAAACAGCCTAGCTCTGATAGTGAATTTTTAGCCACTCTTGCTGGCAGAGGGAAGTCAGTGGCAAAGACTGGTCCAGAGAGTGACCACTGCTTACCACTCCGTGAAGAAAAAGCCTGTGCTCAGACACAGAGCTCACTCTTCTATTCACCATCTTCTCCAATGAGCAGTGATGATGAGTCAGAAATAGAGGACGAGGATTTGAAGGTGGAGCTTCAAAGATTACGAGAAAAGTAAGATTGTTTCTCTTTTGTCACAAATCTGGTTGCCTGGAGTTTTATAGAACTAAGTATTTGACTGATAGCTAATTTACAATTGGTGACTTTTTAAAAAAAGATTTACTTATTTATTGATTTACTTACTTACTTGAGGGAGAGAGAGAGTGTGTGTGTGTGCGCACAGGGAAGGGGCGGAGGGAGAGGGAGAGAATCTCCAGCAGACTCTGTGCTGAGCATGGAGTCCAACATGGGGCTCGATCTCATGACCCTGAGATCATGACCTGAGCCAAAACCAAGAGTCAGATGCTTAACTGACTGAGCCACCCAGGTGCCCCACAATTGGTGACATTTTAATGATTGAAAATTTTTGATGATTGAAAACTACAAAGATAGCATCAGATCTCACAGGTCAGGGGCTCAGTCCCACAGATGCCAATCATAAGTCCAAGTAGTATTACCTATGCTTCAAAGGTTCCCACAAGCCCTTCCTTGGGTTCAATTAATTTACTAGAGCAGCTTACAGAACTCAGGAAGAACAGTTTACTTAGTAGATTATCAGTTTATTATAAAAGGACACAACTCAGGAACAGCCAGATGGCAAGATACAGGGGAAGGGGCATAAAGCTTCCATGCCCTCTTGGGAGTACCAGCACCTTCATGTTTTTACCAACCTGGAAACTCTCCAAACCCTACAGTAAGGGATTTTTATAGAAATTTCATTATGGTAGGCATGATTCATTTAAATCATTGGCCACTGGCGATTAATTCGGTCTCTAACTCTGTCCCAGAGGTGGAGTGGGAGGGGCTGAAAATCCCATCCGCTAATCACTTGGCTGATTCTCCTGGCAATCAGCCCCCAACCTTAGGGGCTATTCAAGTCAGTTCATTAATATAAACTCAGGTGTGATTCCAAGGGGCTTATTATAAATAATAAGATTTCTGGGGCACCTGGGTGGCTCAGTCGTTAAGCGTCTGCCTTCGGCTCAGGTCATGATACCAAGGTCCTGGGGGTCAAGCCCTGCATCAGGCTCCCTGCTCTGCGGGAACCCTGCTTCTCCCTCTCCCACTCCCCCTGCTTGTGTTCCTCTCTCGCTGTGTCTCTCTCTGTCAAATAAATAAATAAAATCTTTAAAAAAAAATAAATAATAAGATTTCTTTCACCTTTATCACTCTAGAGCTACTTTAGGAACTAGAGCTATTTGAGGACAACAGACCAAATATTAAAATAAAAGATCCTCCAATTGCTCTTTATAGCTTAGGAAATTACTAGGGTTTTAGGAGCTGTATTCTAGGAACAGGGATAAAGACCAAATATATATATTTTAATATAAATCATAATATCACAACAGTAAAAAAGCACACAGAACAATCTCTTATTTCTCATGCCCTAATCTCATTTCTCAGAGGCAACCACTGTGAACTGTTTGGTATATATCTTGCCTGTCATTTTTCTGTGCATTACATATACTTTTTGCCTTTTATGAAAGTGAGGTCATAATATACATGTTATTCTACAATTTTTTTACTTAACACTGTTGCTTATATATATATATATATATATATATATATATATACACACGTTTGCACAAATAATCTTTATTCCACATATTAGAATAGCTATTTAAAGTTTATTTAATCACTTATTAATGGACATTTCAGCTTTATTCCATGTTTTGCTTATGTAAGCAATGTTGGAGTAAACAACCTTATATTTTTACATACTTATGTGAGTATTTTTTGTAGGATAGATACCTAAAAGTAGAATTTCTGGGTTAAAAGGTATGTATACTTTAAATTGATAGATACTGCTAAAATTGTTGTTCAGGGTGGCTATACCATTTTATGCACCAAACAAATATATGTGAAAGTGGGGTGCCTGGCTGGCTCAGTCAATAGAGCATGTGACTCTTGATCTTGGGATTGTGAGTTCCAGCCCATGTTGGGCATAGAGATTACTTTAAAAATATATATATACACATATATATGAAAGTGACTGTTTTCCCACTTCTTAACAACATTGGACTGGATATTATTGATTCTTTTAGTTTTATTCCAATCAGATAAATTAAAAATATTTCTTAAGAAATAATTGTATTCTCCTACTTAATAGTGAAGTTGTACATATCTCATATTGGCTACTTGTATTTCCTTCTCATATTCTTTCCCCTTTTTCCTATAAGGTTGTTTCTTTTTTTCTTATTGATTTTTTAGAAGATTTTATGTATTTATTTGAGAGAGAGTGAGCGAGCATGACTGGGGGTGGGGAGCAGAGGGAGAGGGAGAAGCAGACTCCCCACTGAGCAGGGAACCCAATGAGGGCTCGATCCCAGGACCCTGAGATCATGACCTGAGCCGAAGGCAGCCACTTAACCGACTGAGCCACCCAGGCACCCTTTTTGTATTGATTTTTAGGAACTATTTATATATTCTGAATATTAACCTTTTACTATATGTTGCAAATATTTCGTTATTTATACTTGCAACATATAATAAAGAAAAGGTTAATATTATCAATATATGTGATTTTAAATTGTATTTCATTATCTTTCACTATATTGAAGTTTTAAAATTTGTTCTTGTCAATTTGTTCACTTTTTTCTTAATGTCTGATTAGTTTAATGTTGAATTTAGGAAGGCATAGCCCATCCTAAAATTGTGAATATTCTGTATTTTCACATTCTTAATCTAAATTCCTTGTTAAACTTTCCTTGTATTGGTGTAGTTTCTTGAGTCGTCTGTATGGTGCCAGTGCTATTAAAATGCTTTCTGCATGATTTTCATTTAGACACATTCAGGAGGTGGTAAATCTTCAAACCCAGCAGAATAAGGAGCTGCAGGAGCTCTATGAACGCCTTCGGGCAATTAAAGATAGCAAAATCCAGTCATCAGAGGTTCCTCTGCCACCTTCGTCACCACGCAGACCAAGATCTTTCAAAAGCAAACTTCGTGGCCGCCCCCAGTCCTTGACACACGTGGATAGTGGCGCAGCTGCTACAGGTAAATTGGTCTTAAAAGTGATTTAAAAAACCTGGTCAAATAACAGCAAAATAATAAATATAATGATGATATAATTTATTTCTTATTACGCTAAGATGCTTTAAAGAAGTACACGTTATCCTGAGATTCTTTTCTACCTTTTTGGTATTAGATATTCTTTTATGAAATAATGGTGAGGATAGATGATAGATTTTGGAGAGCAGATGAGTGTGTTTTATGTTTTCATTTGGAAAACAAACACCTGGAAGCCCAACTTCAATCTCCCAAATAGTTTTTGAAATGTTATCAGTCATTGGGAACTAGAGTTTGTTGAGGAGTTTGTAGCTAACAAAGATAATCTTAAAAATACTGTCGTGTTCTATGTGATGTAAGAGATCATTGTTTATTATTTATGAGAATATTAGAAAAATGTACTACTTTGATTTGAAAAAAGAGCATCAGTCTCTTCTTAATAAAGAACTTGTTAATCGGGTCAGACTTCTTGGTTACATGTGCATAGTCAAGTGGGGGTTGAGGGTGAACAATAAGGATATATGTGAGATCTCAACAGAATTTGTGGTAGACAGAATAATGGCCCCTATGTCTTTGTGCAAATTCCTGGAACCTCTGACTATGTTTGGTTATATGGCAAAGAGGAGTGGAGGTTGTAGATGGAATTAAGGTTGCTAATTAACTGACTTTAAAATAGGGAGATTATCCTGGATTACTCGGGTGGGCCCAAAGTAATCACAAGGGTCCTTTAAAGTGGAAAAGGGAGGCAGAAGAGAGGGTCAGAGAAAAGATGTGAGGAGGGAAGCATTGTCAGACAGATGCAACATTGCTGGCTTGGAAGGTGGAGGAAGAGGGCCACAAACCAAGGAATTTAGGCTGCCCCTAGAAGCTGGGAAAGGCTGGGGAACAGATCTTCTCTAGAGCCTCCAGAAGGAGTGAAGCCCTGCCAGCACATTGATTGTAGTCCAGTGAGACCCATGTTGGACTTCTAACCTACAGTACTATAAGATAATAAATCTGTGTTGTGTTGGTATGGATGTCAGCCACTAATCTATGGTAATCAGTTATAGCAACAATGGAAAACTAATACAGAACTCAAGAATGGGAATTCTTCTTTGTGATCCTCATAAAGATAGAACTGAAGGGTAAACTTAGATTGAGGGCAACTTTGGGAGTTTAATAGCAAAAGCATGTGGACTTTCAGTCTAATACTCTACCATTAATTGCTATACTTTTAAAAAAAGATTTTATTTATTTATTAGAGAGCAAGCATGAGAGAGAGAGCACAAGCAGGGGTGGGAGGTAGAGGGAGAAGCAGACTCCATGCCTAGCAGAGAGCCCAACACAGGACTCGATCCCAGGACCCTGGGATCATGACCTGAGCTGAAGGCAGATGCTTAACCAACTGAGCCCCCCAGGCACCCTAATTGCTATACTTTATTTTATTCTGTTTTGTTCTTTTCTTTAAAGATTTTATTTATTTGTCAGAGGGAGAGAGAGAGAGAGAGAGAGCACAAGCAGGGCGAGCGGCAGGCAGAGGGAGAAGCAGGCTCCCCACTGAGCAAGGAGCCTGATGCAGGACTCGATCCCAGGACCCTGGGATCATGACCTGAGCTGAAGGCAGATGCTTAATCTACTGAGCCACCCAGGTGCCCCAATTCTGATTTGTTCTTAAGTGACTTGCTCTTTTTATGTAGTTTCTGTTTCCCCAGAACTTTGACTTGCAGATGGCTTTAGTTTGTTATGATCCAAAGCATTTTTTGACTTTCCAATTCCTGCTTAACTGGCCCTTGTCAGATTCCAGAGATAGAAAATTGACTGACCCTGCTCATCTTTTTCATGCCAAGAAATGGGCCAGAGGCCATTGCCTATCCTATTGTTGGGCTCTCTTCCAGTCAGGTTGTTAAGGATTTTTTCTGCGTGGGTGAGCACGGTTCTTTGTCAGGCCACTTTGAAGAATGAAGAGGTAGACCAGACAGAGTGGTGGGCAGCAAAGCAAGGTTTATGGAGTGATAGCAAAGTGATAGTCCAGAGCTCCCAAGGAGGGAGGGGACCCGAGAGGGTTGCCACCAGTTTCTAAGTCTAGGGTTTTTTATGGACTTGTTGGTGGGCTGTTTTCATCTAATTAAGCTTCCCTGTGCCTGTCATCCAATCAGGTTTTTGTCATATGGGAAAGGGTAGAGGGCTCCTCCCAGAATGGTGTAAAATCCTTTTAAGGGTGATTTCCTCTTAGGACGGAGGGCCCCTTGTCCCTGCCTGCCTGCCTTCCAACTGTCCTTCATCAATATCTGTTGTTGAGCCACTGTAGTGAATTTTTTATTTCAGTTATTTTTAAACTCCAGAATTTCTATTTTTAAAAAAACGTTTCTATCTCTTAATATTTTCTATTTAGTGTGAGACATTTTTATCATACTTTCCTTTAAATTTTTAGGCATAGTTTCCTTAAATTTGAATACAGATTTTGTCTACTAAGACCAAAATCTAGGCCCCCTTCAGGATGTTTTTGTTGACTTTTTTTCTGTATATGTGTCATTCTTTTCTGTTTCTTTGCATGTATCTTATTTTGTGATTAAAAACTGGACATTATAGATAATATATTGTAACAGCTCTGGTATCAAATTCTTCCACCCTCTTCCCCACCAAGGTCTGTTGTATTTTGTTTGTTTGTTTATTATTGTTATGGTATTTTCTTGTTGCTACTTATTTGTTTACTGATTTTCCAACACTACTCTGTATTCCCTGCAGTGTATGGCCATTGAGTTCTTTGCAAATTTAAAAAAAATTTGTTTTTATTTTTAAGTCTGGCATGCTGATGGTCACACCTGAGCCAGTACATTTAGTGGTGAGCCAATGATTTGTCAGAAGATTTCATTAAATGCCTCATCTGGATGTTTTTGTCAAGGGGATCTCTGTGAGAAGGCACACTTTCAAGCTTCACTTTATAAGACAACCTTTGAATTTATTTCCTGCTTGCGCAGGAACTGAAGTTCAGCCGGAATTGAGTGATTGGTACTTTCTCCTTTCTCAGGTCTTTCCTGGCATGCCAGACATTTCTGGATATTTGTAATTTGTGTCGTCTCTTTTTTTTTCCTTGTCAGTCTTGATAGCGGTTTATCAATTTTATTGATCTTTTCAAAGATATCCAGTGTTTGTTTTTATTGGTTTTCTTTATTGTTTTCCTGTTTTAACTTTCATTGATTTCTACTCTTTATTATTTTCTTCCTCCTACACATGCCTTGTTTTTATTTTGCTCTTTTTCTAATTTCTTTAAATGGAAGCTAAGATTATTTCTTAAAGATTTATTTATTTATTTTAGACAGGGAGCACACGTGAGCACAAGCATGTGCCAACAAGCGGGGTGGGGGAAGGAGCAGAAGGAGAGAGGATTGAGAGAGACTCCTTAAGCAGAATCCCCGCTGAGCATGGAGCCCTACTCGGGGCTCAGTCCCAGCACTCTGAGATCATCACCAGAGATGAAATCACTAGTCTGTTGCTTAACCAGCTGAGCCACTCAGGTACCCCGGAAGCTAAGATTGTTGTTGTGTGAGACCTTTCATTTTATAATACAAGCTTTTAATGCTATAAATTTTCCTAAAAGTACCACTTTGACTACATCTGCTAAGATTTTTAAAAATTAAGCTTTATTTTGGGGGGACAGTTTTAGATTTATAGAAAAATTGTTAAGATAGTACAGAGAGTTTCCAATTTCCATGAGATAGTACTGAGAGTACCCCACACCCAGTTTTCCCAATTACTAGCATCCTACCTTCATATGGTATATTTGTCACAACCAATAAACCAATCTTGATACATTATTATTAACTAAAGTCCATATTTCACTCTGATTTCCTTAGTTTTTACCTTATCTTTTTTCTGTCCCAGGATTCCATCCAGGGTACCAAATTATTTAGTGTTCATGTCTCCTTAGGCTTTTCTTGGCTCTAACAGTTTCTCAGAACTTCCTTGTTTTTGATGACCCTGAAAGTTTTGAGGAGTACCAGTCAGCTATTGTGTATAATTTTGTTTTTGAACTTTTTTTTACTTACTAGCACCAGAAGGTGCTCTAGGCTAATTTTCTATATTTCCTGCCCCAGTCTTAGGAGCCACCGTTTCCAAAAGGAATCCTAATTACTTTTATTGGAGAATAGACTATCCTGCTTCTCCTCCTCCCCTCTGCTCCTCCCCTCTGCTCACGCGCATGCGCACATGCTCTCTCTCTCTCGCTCACTTGCTTTTTCAAATAAATAAAATCTTAAAAAAATAATCCTATCTAGAATGTTGATTTTTTTACTTCTTTTTTTAATTTAATTTAATTTAATTATGTTATGTTAGTCACCATATAATACATCATTTGTTTTTGATGTAGTGATCCACAATTCATTGTTTTCATATAACACCCAGTGCTCCATGCAGTACGTGCCCTCCTTAATACCCATCACTGGGCTAACACATCCCCCTCCCCCCTCCCCTCTAAAACCCTCAGTTTGTTTCCCAGAGTCCATAGTCTCTCATGGTTCATCTCTCCCTCTAATTACCCCCCTTCATTTTTCCCTTCCTTCTCCTAATGTCCTCCCTGCTATTCCTTATGTTCCACAAATAAGTGAAACCATATGGTAATTGACTTTCTCTGCTTGACTTATTTCACTTAGCGTAATCTCCTTCAGTCCCATCCATGTTGATGTAAAATTTGGGTATTCATCCTTTCTGATGGCTGAGTCATATTCCATTGTATATATGGACCACATCTTCTTTATCCATTCATCTGTTAAAGGGCCTCTCAGCTCTTTCCACAGTTTGGCTGTTGTGGACATTGCTGCTATGAACATTGGGGTGCATATGGCCCTTCTTTTCACTACATCTGTGTCTTTGGGGTCAATACCCAGGAGTGCAATTGCTGGGTCATAGGGTAGCTCTATTTTTAAATTTTTGAGGAACCTCCACACTGTTTTCCAAAGTGGCTGTACCAACTTGCATTCCCGCCAACATTGTAAGAAGGTTCCCCTTTCTCCATAACCTCTCCAACATTTGTTGTTTCTTGCCTTGTCAATTTTTGCCATTCTAACTGGTGTAGGGTGGTATACTGTAAGGTGGAACAGAATGTTGATTTCTTTTTTTATTAGGAAGTAATTGACCCAGTTTTTTTAGAAGGTTTATTCATTTATTTTAGAGAGAGAGCGCGCGTGCACGCGATCATGCACAAGTGGGGGGAGGGGCAGAGAGAGAATCTCAAGCAGACTCCCTGCTGAGTGTGGAGCCCTATGTGGGCTCAATTCCACGACCCATGAGATCATGACCCGAGTCAAAACCAATTGTTGGCTGCCCAACAAACTGAGACCAGTTATTTTTACCTTGTGAGTTCTAGCCTATCTTCTTTGGTCTGTTGTTCCAATGTCAGTTCAGTTGCATTACCTCTGTGGTACTCTTCGGATCTTTCCCACATGTCGGTCTTCCAGTGGTCAGTCTCAGTCTTTGGCAGTTGTCTTAGTTCAGTTCTCATGTCTTTGGTGTACTGCATTTTTCGTTGCTGAGAGAAAGGAGTATGCTCAAGTGTGCCCCCTCATAATAGGAAGTCTGTGCATAAATTTCTCTAGATTCCTGTGTCTTTTTCCCTTGCTGATCCTATCATGCATCTTTTTACTGTAATAAACTTAGCTGTGAATACAACTATATGTTGAGTCCTTACACCTTTGATTGAATCACTGAATCTGTGAGTGGTCTTGGGGACCCTGAAACATAATTGCATTTGATAATCTCAATCCTCAAAATAACTGTAAGGTAGGTAGAAGTTAATGTCTGTCTCTTATAGGTAAGAAGACTAAAGTTAGTGAGATTAAACTACTTCCCTAGAACCTCAGTTCATAAGTGAGGGAATCCAAATCTGTTTAACCCCAAACAAAGCCTTGGTTCTTCACTGTTATTCTGCATTGCCTCCTAATACCAGAAATTGTGTCTACAGTGGGTGAGAGGAGGCAATGGAGGATTATAGAGGGTGATAGTGGTCTGAGACTGCTACATACAGCTTGTAGTATTTGAGTTGGTCTTGAAGGATAAATGGACAGGATTAAAATTGGTGAAGTGCTGTGGGAAGAGTATTGTTTATAGGTAGAATTGTATGATATAAAGGCATGCAAATGTTAAAATGTAAGATTTATTTCCAAGAAAGAGAATATAACAGTTGGATGAAATGGAGGGTTGATATTAGAATTAGAAGGTTTTTCTTACATACTTTAAAAAAGAACTTTTGGCAACTGCCATAGCTTGTCTGTGCTACAGTTTGGTGTAAGATAATGTCCCTGATCTAACACATAATTATATATTTAAGCTTAATAAATGAGATAGTATGTTTGTTTAGGGATAATAAATATCTGTTCTGCAAGGATAACCATGACTACTACCAATGACTTTGCCACCTAAACAAGTTAAAAACCCACAGTTGTTTGGAGGTTAAGAAACCTCTGAAGTGGGAGGGGGGGTTGAACAGAAGAGTGAAATGCTGAAAACAGCATTTAACTGATACTAATCTGGTGGCAATGTGAAGAATGTATTGGCTAGAGCTAGGGAGTGAGTCCATTTAGATCATTGTAATCATAGCATTCCATGTATGAGATGATTAAGAGCTTAGAGAATTGTGGAAGTGAAAATAGGCAAGAGATGTTGTATAGGATGAATTGCCATGATGTGGTGATGACTGGATATTTGTATATCTTTGGTGAGATCCAAATGTTCGGAGTCTGAGTAGTTTGGAGAAAATATGAAAAATATAGAAATATGACATTTAGGTGAACTGTTATGCCAAGACCACGTTAGGTTTGATTCTAGGTGTATTGAATTGAATAATTTATTGACATCCAAGTGGAAAAACGTATTTGGGTTCTGAAATTGGATTGAAGAGAGGTCAAGGTTTGAGATAAGAGATGGGAACATTTGCAGTCGGGTGGTCACTAAAACTGTCTGAATGGGGGCATCACCTTGGGGAAAAAACAGAAAAGAACAACAAGGACCATACTCTGGTTTTATTCATTTGATCAGTAAGAAATGAATATTAAAGAGTATCTCTGAAGTTTTAAGTAATAAGTTATGTTGACGTTTTTTATAACTGTTAAAACATTTGTACAGTACTTCTTTTCATGTAGCTATTTTCTAGTTTGTGAACTTTAAGTGGTCTTTTATGGTATATGAGTAACTCTTAAATGAAATCAATAAATAATTGTCTTTTCCATGTATAAGGTATGAGTTAGGCACCGGATAACATTCACATAATGTTTTTTTCTTCTCATATAGCACGTTGTTCTTGATAACTTCTGGAAGGTATGTGTGTGCATATCTTTCTGTTGCCTACTTAGGAGTCTTGCCCTCAGTTCCTGTTTCATTTCAATACCTGTTTGGTTTGTTAATCATTTCTTCACTTGCTGGCTATTGTGCCGCTATCATTACCATCAGTTGAAGGTTCAAGATCACTTGTTCCATCAGAGTTGTACACAAGAATCCTGACATTAGGCTTTCCCTTAGTGCAGAAATGTTCTTAAATGAATGACATTCAAACTTAGCTCTATGCAACACATTTTTTTTAGAAACTAAGGGGAATGAGCACAGAAATACTCCTTAGGAGAAGCTAGGTGAACAAAAATTTTCGCACTAATGTGTATATGGTTCTGGCTATTGTCTCCATTTTATTCCTACCTGCTGATGTCTCCATTTTACTCCTACCAACTGACATTTTTCCAGGGTAAGAAGACAATCTTAAAAGGCTTCAGCTCCAAAGTCTTCCCCAATATTGTTCTGCTATTTGTTCCATCACTGGAGTTGACAGAGAATGAGATGAATGTGCAGAGGGATAACAGGGGGAAAAAGTTTCTTTATTATAGGCTGACTTGTTGTCTTCGGGTTTTAAGTCTTAGAAAAGGAGGGAATTCCAGCAAAATTGGTATGTCATTTTGGTAACTCATGGTTGCCCAAAAGGTAGTATACATGATTTTTTATAAAACTTTTGTATATGTGAATGTGGTCCAGTTAATTCATTAAACTCTTCTTAAGCAATTTTCATTAATATGTTTTCATTTAATATTTAATCCCCTTGAATCTAAGCTTTCAGTAATGCAGAGTTCATTGAGAATCACAGACTTTGTATAAGCACTCATTAAGATTATCATGTTCCTCCTTTTGAAGCAAGTTCCCCATTCATTTCCCAGTGTATTCTTGGGTTGGTATGGTACAGTGGAAAGCACACTGACCCAACTGTCAGGATACCTGGGTTCTAGCCCCAGCATATAACCTCAGCTTCTGGATCCCATTCTTCTCATCCAAAAAATAGAATACTTGTTGAGCCTATATCACAGGTCTGTTATAAGTTTCAAAAATGATAAAGAAAATTACTTTGAAAGTGTTAATATGGAGGCTTCTTGCATCATCGTTGGCAATTTACATATTTTTTCACAATTAAAAAAAGTACCATAACAAATGTACAAGAAATTTTCATATGCTTGTTTAATAAAATTCCTGAAAATGTTATTGTGCTTATATTTCAAAACTGTATTTCCTAAAATTCATTTTAAACCCACTCTATAAGTTCTGGCTTGTAAATCAGAGGAATTGGACCTTTATGAATTTTTTCTATGAGAATGATTTAGTAAGTGTGTATAATAATACTGAATAATTTAGACTTAGTGTGATGTTCAGATTAGGAAATTTTTTGCTGACAGAGACTTCTGTAATTGATTTGTTTCATTTGTTTTGGACATCTTATGCTCTACAACTCATGAGGTTCATACATCTTCTGCATTTTGTTTCTGCCATTTGTTTATCATTAACAAACAAAAATATTGGTTAAAAAGTTAAATGAGATTCTAGTTTTCTGATGCTTGTTGAAAGTCAGTATGGTATACTGAAAAGAGAGAGCATCCTTGTCTACGTTTCAGCATTCTACGCCTGATTCAGCTGATGACTAACTGCAAGAACTCGGGCATATCATTGTACCTTTTCTGGGGCTCATTTGTCCATTATAAAACAAGTGGTTTGGATTAGACTTCTAAGGTTCTTTTCAATTTTAACATTCTATGATTGTTTTTAAAAACTCTTCTAAGTATCTATCTGAGGAAACTAATGTAAAGATTATAATTGGTACTGTTTTTAAAGATACTGTTTATTATATTTGACTAATAACTTATACCTTATTTGACTTACACCAAGGTGACCATATAATTTGTCATCCAACAAGAGAAAACTTTTGAGAGTTAAAGGCACCCTGTTAATAATTACTCCAGGGCAGCAGCTTTTAAACCAGGACTGTCCCAGATAAACTTGCATGTCTGGTTACCCTATCTGCACCCCATATGTGGGGTTCTGTCAACTGCATTATTGGCTGAAGAACAGTATTTGTCAGTTTTAATTCCTTTTTATGGTTTTCCTGTTTTTTCTTCTAGATCCACTGTGTGTGGAAAGTAATGTAGCATCATGCCAGCAATCTCCAGCTAGTAAAAAAGGGATGTTCACAGACGACTTACATAAACTGGTTGATGACTGGACAAAGGAAACAGTAGGAAATTCTCTTATTAAGCCAAGTTTAAACCAACTCAAACAGAGTCAACACAAACTAGAGGCAGACAACTGGAACAAAGTATATGAAGTAAGTTGTTTTTACATATTCCTCTTTATTTATGAGAACTAAAACCAGGGGCTCCTGGGTGGCTCAGTCAGTTAAAGGTCTGACTTTTGATCTCAGCTCAGGTCTTGATCTCATGGTTGTGGGCTCAAGCCCCACGTTGGGCTCCATGCTGGGCATGGAGCTTATTTAAAAAAAAAAAAAAAAAAAAAGAACTAAAACCATAAAAATTGATTCACTTAGTCACTATGAGAGAATGGTGTGATTTGACAACATAGAGACTTTTATCCTTGTCTAGATTCATTATGTCTGAGCAAATTATCTTTTAGACCAGGGGTCAGCAAACTTTTTCTGAGAAGGGGCCAGTTAGTAAACACTTTCAAGTTGTGTGGTTGAACTAGTCAGCTCTGTCGTAGGACAAAGCAGCCATAAACAAAACATAAATGAATGCATGTGGCTTTGTTCCATTAAAACTTGACTTGCAAAAAGAGGTGGCATGCTGTAGATTGCTGTCCCTTGTTTTAGACTCTTATACCTGAAAAAAATAACCATCAAGTATCAAAAAGAAAGCATCTAGAGTGATGGTTAATTCAGTCCTGTGGTGCAAGAGTTTGGGTTTTGAGGAAAAGCTATCATATGTTGTATGTCAGTATTCTTAGAACTACTAAGTGATCTTATTTGTTCAGTTTGAAAAATAATTTTAAAGCTCTTTAAGCTAGAATATTGTGAAAGACATCTTAAATTTATGGGATGAGATGCCTAGTTAATTGCATATGGTCTTAGATGTACATGCAGTTGAGATATAGAAAGATGTCCTCAATGCATTCTGGAGTGGGAAGAAGGCAGGCTTATAGAACAATATATACAGTATTTGTTTAAAATTATGTACATTAGATATATGTATATACACACAGAAATAGGAAAAGCCATTAACAATATGCGGGATGGTGGAATTTGGGCCTTCTTTACTTTGTACTTCCCTGTGTTTGAATTTTTAAAGTATCACTTTTTCACAATGAGTAAATCTATTAAAATGTGAATCAGGGCTTAGAATCTGAACCCTCATAATTGAAAGAGATATATTTGTGTGTGTGTGTGTGTTGTATTTGTGTACATGTATGTGTATATTTGTAGTCATTGCATATAGTTTGGTAAAGAGAGTCTGAAAATACAGTTAGTGTTAATGTTGAATAAAAATTTCAAAAGCCTAGATTTCCCAAACTAGTAAGCAGTATATTTCTTGGGGATTCTGTGTATTTATCTTACTCCTGGCACCGATTTATACACAGATAGTATCACCATTGTAAAAATTGGAAGACTTTAGAGGCAGATTTCAAGGCATAAATGCATTGGTGCTGCCAGTGACAGATCCTCTGAGTACTCTGTGAATGGAGACTTTTGTTGACTAGTAGGAGGGTGGTTGTTTGCAGTATAATGGGGGATCTTTGGAGGGAGAGTGAGTAGAAAATGGAGTATGAACAAAAGTGGTGAAGGTCTTTAAACAGAATTGGGTTCCAGTGTCAGCTCAGTCACTTACTAGTTGTGTGACTATAGGCAAGTCATCTGTGCCTCAATTTCCATGTCTTTAAAACAGAGATAATACTTACCTGCCTTACAAGATTGCTGTGAGGATTAAATGAGCTAACACCTTTAGAGTGACTAGCACAAAGTAGGAACTATTTTTGTATTTTGAGTTCAGTTGATTACATCTTTGTGTGGAAAACTGATCTCATAATCTCATGTTCTTGCTTGTTACCGATTTGTGGCCTTACTTAGAAAATTTTGTCACAATTATGTCAAACTTATAAATATATAAATATAAAATTGTAGCTGTAATAAGGACTTGAGGAAAAATTAAGATATGTAAGAGATTTGATCTAGTGAAGGGAAGTCAAGCTTTCACTGAGAAAGTGATGATTGAACAGAGATCTGAAGAATGAGTAGGTGTTAACTAGGTGAAAAAGGGAGGGAATATAATTCCAAGCAGAAAGAACAGCATATGCAAAAGCCATGTATGGGTAAAGAGATCATGGGGGGACTAAAAGTAAGCCAGTTTGGCTGAAGTGAAGACAGCAGAGAGGAGTTGGTATGCAGTGAATCTAAGGAGTTTGGGAGGGTCTTAAAAGTGGTGATGATAAGGAACTTTGTCTTTATTTTAAGAAAGATGGATAGCAAAAAAAAAAAAAGAAGAAGAAGAAGTTGGATAGCCATTGAAGCCCTAGGGTTAACATCATATTTGCTTTTTGAAAATACTACTCTGACTTGAAGCAAGAAGAAAGGATTATGGGGGCTAAGGGAAGAAGTTGATAGACCAATTAAGAGTTAGTCACAGTAGTCTAGATAAAGAGAAGTTGAGATAAAGAAAAGTGATTAGATTCCAAGAAATGTTTAAGAGATAAAATGGGGGTGCCTGGGTGGCTCAGTCAGTTAAGCGTCTGACTCTCAATCTCAGCTCAGGTCTTGATCTTGGGGTCGTGATTTCAAGCCCCGCATTGGACGCCACACTGGGCATGGGATCTACTTAAAAAGAGAGAGAGAGAAAAGGGACAAGATTTAGTATGGAGTGGATGTATGGCAAGAGGGAAGGTGTCAAGACTAGGTTTCTGGCTGCACTACTGGCTATCATTCCAGCGTACCAATCACCAAGATGTGGAACATGAGTAGGCAGTGTGTTTTGGTAGAGGAAAGACCATAGGTCATTTGAATCTCAAATTCCTTTGAAATATGCAGGCGAAGGTTAAGTATAACAAGTCATCTCCATTGTCTTTTTTAAAAATAAAAATCACATTATTGTTTGTAAAATAATGTTCATTATGGAATTTAATAAATGCAGGAAGAGTACAAATCTTAAAATAGCCCCTTCAAATCCCACTACCTGGAAATAATTGTCACTAACTTTAGGTAAACAACATTTCAGATATCTTTCTGTGTCTGTATATGGATACATGGAAATGACTTTATAAAAATGCAATCATACTATATGTGCCCTTCTGAATCAGAAGTATTAAATTTAATTTTACTTTAACAGAACAAAAACACTGATATGAAGAAGGGATTACTGAACTTGAAATAAATGTGTTTTTTCACATCAAGAGATATGGTCGATTCATTCTTGAGTCAAGCAAAAGCCTTTTAGTTTCAACGTATTTGAAAGGCATTTAGCTTGACTATTTAACCTAGAAGAACTAAGCATTTGAGACTGATACCAAACTCTACTTTAAGTGAGAATTATTTACTTCTGTTAGACTTACTATTACCATATGCATAAGATTTCAGTAATCTCGAGAGATGTGCATACTCGCAATAGGACATGATAAGGAGAGTCAGGCAGGAATATATTTTCACAGTACTGCCAAAAACATAATGGTCTTGAGTTTAAACTTCCAAAAATGCAATAGGAACATTAGACTTTAAGGCAATGAGTAGAAGTGGGTGGGGAGGTGACATTTGTTGAGCACCTACTATATATGCTAGGCTCTTTCCCCTGTGCCACACTAAATCATGCTCCTCTGTCTCCAGAGAATTACGTAGTAAGCTGGTCTATTGTCTGTGGTGCTGAATGAGAATTCATGGGGCTAAGAGGAGGAAATAAATATAGAAGAGTAGTGCTAACATAAAGAAATGAGACAACACTGAACCGTGAACAGAGATTTAGCAGGGTCCTTGGAGTTAGCTGGAACTCTATTCAAATCCTCACCTCACTATCAAGTTGTTTAGTGATATTGGGTGTCAGCAATTTTGATCTTCAATTTCTTTATCTGAAAATGCCTACCTTGCAGGGCAGTGATGAAGAGGAAATGAAATAAGGTATGCAACAATGCTTGGCACACAGAAATGTAGCCTTTTATAGTAATAATAGGAAGAGTAAGCCAGAAAGATTAGGAAGGAGTATAGATGGGTAAAAGCATCGACCAAATGAACTGATCTTTTGTTTTTATTTTTGTTTTTGTTAGAATACTCCATCTACTATGGGCTACACACCAACATGGATTTCTTCTCTGTCCCAAATCCGTGGAGCTGTCCCAACCTCCTTGCCACAAGGACTCCCACTCCCTTCATTTCCTGGGCCATTATCATCATATGGAATGCCCCATGTTTGTCAGTATAATGCTGTGGGGGGGCCAGGGTACCCAGTACAGTGGGTAGGAATTTCAGGAACACCGCAACAGTCTGTAGTAATTCCTACTCAATCTGGGGGACCATTCCAGCCGGGAATGAATTTACAGGCGTTTCCAGCTTCATCAGTGCAGAATCCATCCGCGATCCCTCCTGGTCCCAAATGAATCAGAGTAGATGATGAAGAAAAGGGAGATTTTTTTCAGAATTATTTTCAGGACACCTAAGATACTAAACGTTCTTCTTCTTGGGTTCTGCCATATTTTCCCTCATTTGAGTTTACTTTCCACTATATATTTTTTTTTTGTTCCATTGTGGTATTTTATATAGCTCATCATTCTGTAGAACTGTGCAGTTTGTACATAGAACACTGCACACAGAAATGTTTTTTCACTTCAAATCCTATCCTCTTTGATACTTGATTTTTTAAAAATACCGTTCAGAATGCTTTAATAAGCTCAGCTTGAGCATTACCATTTCCAGGACACTTTCCATGAATTGCTGAGAAGCCCCCATTTTTTACTGCTGCTATCTGCAGCTGGATGATACTTTAAAATGTATAAAAACTATTTAAATTGATATTCCCCAAACGTGGACGAAGTGAGACCCTCCAACAGCCGGAGTCTTATGGGATTCTTCACATGTTTATCTTAGGTTTACCTTTCACAGAAGGCAGGGTAACTTGCTGCAGGAAACGTTTTGGTATATAAAATTAGAATAACTTTGTCAACCAATATAGACCATGAACCCTTTTTAATGTGATTTTCTTCCCGTCGTCACAGCAGGAGGAGTGAAGCCTTGTTTTAGGTGAGGCGGAGAGAAAGGAAAAAACAGAACTGTAACAGTTCCTTGATTCTGCAGATACTGTAGCTGCTTTAGGATTTCAATAGTAATTCAAAGCAGCTATCTCCTTGTTTCTCATGTGCACACTACATTGTTTTTGAGCATCTGAGAGGCATTGGTTTGGCTTGCATTCTTTTGCAAGGGATATATTGCAGCTGATATGAATCTCATTTGAGGGAATCTTTGTATTCCTAACAAAGAGGATTCAAGTTACACCTCTATTGATCCATTCTTCTGAAGTAAAATGTACTTGACACAGTAGGTTGTAGGTTTTGAGACTTACACATGAAACACTGGCTTTACAGGGTTCTAAGATGCGGGGTATACACTGTCCTGCAGTGAGATAGTAGACCCTCGAAGGACACTATTTAAGTTGCCCTTAGCTTTCTTTTGGGGGGGTGCCATTTTTTAGTTGTTATAATTTCTTAGTATACATAGCATCCTAGATGATTTTAGATCTTAGATGATTTTGGCAGCCTCTTTAGAATCTGAGAGAGATCACTGTCAAGTTGCACTTTACTGGGTTTTATCCAGTTTTAGGAGGAGGTGAGGCAATGTCAAAATATACACTTTTGATTTTCAAGAAGGCTAACTATAGTAATCTTAAAAGCCTGGTCACAGAGTTACCTAATGCTCAGTCTGTGAAACCCAAATGGAATTCTTACATGAATTAATCAACTACCATATATACACCCAAATGGAATTCTTACATGAATTAATCAACTACCACATATACATATTTAAAATACTTTACACTCTGAAATTTTCAAGGTCATTTCTAGTACATATTTACCTGATAATGAGTTCTGTCTACTGGTAAACATTCCAAATTACCACCCAACATTTCTTTTAACAGATTTTCCTCCATGTTCCTCTAAAATTTTTACCCCATGAGCTTGCCAGGTAATGAGGAAAACTTAATAGGTGTACTTTTTTTTTTTTTTTTTGCATAGTCTACTTTGTGACATTCAGTACCCTTTTTCAAAAAATGTTTCTGGTATTGCTTACCTGGGGATCACACTAACCATCATAAAGATTTTGTTACTATCCTTTGGGGTGTCTAAGGCAGCATTTTCAGAATTGCTGTTGATAAGAGCCACAGTTTCTTTTCATAAAACATACTCTGGTTTGGGTGAGTCTTTCTAAATCTTATGTACAGATTCTTCAAATTTCTTCTACAGTATTGGTTTGCAAGTTGCAGTGATTTTAGGACATTAGTGTAATGCAAATGCTTGCATTGCAGTGTTTTCCATGTGTACAAAAACAATGCACCTAAAATCCGTAATTCTTTAAAACTGCTCGTGTTTCATTATAAGAGTTGGCTTTGTGTAATTACATTAAGACTTACAACCTATAAAGTGAAAATCCTGCAGGTTTTAAGATCCCTTCCTCTCTAGATGTAATCCTTTTAAACAGTGTACCCCAGGATGAAAAAACCTCCATGGATGACATGCACAATTACATTTATTAATGGCTGCTCTACATCAGATGTCCCACATTTTGCCACCACCTCTGTTTTATGTCTAGTTCATCATTCATTTGCCTGCAGACTTTTGCAGTGCCTTGTAATATTTAGAATCTTTTCAGATTTTTTGCTGGAAAGAAAAGTAGTCTTCTAAAGTTTGAAGATGGTGAATAGTGTACTGCTGTCTCCATGCTGACCGCAGTCGTTGGGTTAACATATGTTATGTATACATTATGTATATGTAACATGTAGAAGTTTAAAAATACAGAAAAAAGTGAGTTTGTGCAGAAATGAAGAAAACAGTGTTACTCACATCACTGTGGGTTTTTTTTCCCCATTACTTAAATGTTTGATTCAGATTATAGTCACTTTGACTGTAAATATTGGCTAGTTTTCTATGTAGGGGTTTTACATTATTTCATAATTTTGCTAATTCATATAATAGTGCTGTTTTCATCCTTGCTGAGGTAATTTTCTTCCCCAGAAACAATTAACTCTTGAGGTGAAGCTCAGAAATTCCCTTCTTACTTAACAAAGAGCCTACTATATAACAAGGGCCTTCTACCCATTTCCAGAAAACCACACAAACCTGTCCTTTTCATTTTCCTTTTTGTAGCAGAAAGAGGTTGTACTAAACCATCCTGCTTGTAAAGTTTATTTGGGGGATAGTCTGTATGTCCAACCACCATGTTTACTTCTCAAAGTACAAGTCTGATGAATAGTACTGTATCTCCATATGTGGCAATGTGAGCATTTCATCATGAAGTACATGCTGCTATGTTTGTGAAGTTGGGTGTAACATCATAAGACTATGAAACCAGTATTGGTGTAAATCTAATGAAAATAACCCTATGTATATTTGTAGCAGTCTTGAATCTCTATTTAAGGTAATTTGCTGTAATATAACAAATATCCATTTTGTTTTTCATCCTTTTCTTGCCAATTTTATATCAAGCATGAATTCTCATGGTTTGACAGCAAAATTATCTGTGAAAGTTTAAAAGGCACTTTTCCGCTGTGATTTTTGGATTGAGTGTGGAGTGTTATGTACAGTATGATGGGATGTATCATTTTAGAACCCCAGATTTAATTCCAGTCTAATTACTTTTGTTTATCTACCTCGTTTTCAGTGCTGTTTGGGGGTGCAGAAGCAAACACTGCCTGTGAAACTTGCTTTTTTGCCTAGATTCTCAGTATTCTTTCAGGTTATACATCTGGCCTGCCTCCTAGTCCCAGTGCTAACCATGAGTTCGAGATGAGAGGGACCACCACTCTGCCACCAATCTGTGTTTAAGTGATGAGAGCCACGTGCCTCTGCAGAATAAGCTTTGGGGATTTGGGGAAGGAGAGCAGAGAAATAAATCCAGCTGGTGGCAATGTAGGACCTAGTTTTAGGAGTCAGTCCTAAAATAAATGGTAAGAAAGTATCTAAATTAGACAGTCCAGTGCCTGTAACTTTGCATCTTTTATTAAAGATGGCATTTCTTGTCTGTGTGCCTAAAGGGCTATGGGTTGAAATCGTTTTAACTACCACAGTGACATATTTGCTCAGTCCTACAGCAGTGGCCTGTCATTCAGCATATTAGCATACTGCTAGGTATTTGCAGTGGTATTTTCTTACCTTAAAATGGCTGTATGCTTTTAGTTGAATCGTAGTTGGTGGTAACTGTATCCAATCTCTAAAGTTTATTGGAGGCATTGACTTTCTTCTTTGCTGTCTTTTCTGAATGATGAAATGATGCATTCCTTTTCTTTTTCCAGAACACTCAGCTACTGTTTGTAAGCCACATGTTCCTTGTTTCACATGTTTACTGTATAACACTACAGCATATTTAATGTTAGCAAATACTGTATTTCAGGCTTCATGCACAAATACATTCCTGAAGTATGTTTGCCATCAGTTTGGGATTCAGTTATTTAATCTTCTGTTTGGTTTAGAGAAATCTGAGATTTGAGGTGGTGTGCAGGCCATTTTCTAGAATAGATTGTTCATTTTTTCATTCTGTAGTGTCCTGGGGACTTTTTTTAATCCCCCCTTTGTTTTGAAGATGAATCAGAGAGGGGGGTGTGTTGTAGAAAAGGCCATTGATTTGATAAATGTAATTTCTGATGTTCATTTTTTTTAAACCAATCCAGACTGTAAAATTGTGACACTCAAACTTGGTAAAATCCTTTGCAATTAGTATGAAATTTTGATGGAGCCAAATGCTTTCAGTTCACCATGGAAATAGTCTTTGTATGTGAAGGATGAACACAAACATTGGTCAGGGTCCTTGATAGCCAACATAGGCAGAGGCCTGGAATAGTGGCTAGGTGACACTGACATTATTTTCAACTGAGATAGTTGGAAGACTGTGCAAACCAACAGTTTCCATTCTGGAAGGTTTTCTTTTAATTAAAAAAAAAACAACTCAAAAAGGCTAAAAGTCAAGCAAGAAGGGAAGAGGGAAACTGGGCTCTTGAGAAAAAAAAAAAATGGGTGTAAAATAAACTCCTAAATGCGTGCTTGTCATCCTTCCAAGTTTTTGTTTTTGTTTTTGTTTTAAGTTGCATTTCTTTTCCACTATAAGTTAAAATTTCAGATTGAGGTTTGTGGTCCAGAACATACCCTCAGCAGAAATAGTGACTGATCGGAAAGTGCAGTTGTTCAAGGTCTGTCATGCTCAATCACTTAAAGCTGTAACTTGTTTGATATGAATATTAAGCATGTAGACCTAGTGCAGCATGGGAGCCACTCAGGAAGTTTATGCAGTTAATAAACTTTCATGCATAATTTACTATGAAGTATGCAGAATTTCAGCCACTTCTTTACTCTTAACATTTAGTTGTATATGTGAACTCTCCTTTCTTAATTGGGGAATGTAGCATTATATAGAATGTTGTTAAACTTAATTTTAATCCTTCTTGACATTAACTTTTTTTTTTTTTTTTTTGGTAAACCAAGTGATCTGCCTTTAAGCAGTTGTCTGATTTTGGTTCTTTGAAACTGTGATTTTTATTTCATTTGTACCCAACCATTGTAAGTATTTTGTTTTGTTTCTTGGAAATTTTGTTTTGAAACAGAAAATAAAGGCTGTGTTATAAAATGAGTATGGTATCTTATTAAAATGCTTTCATAGTCACTGCAATCACCTGGCTTAAACTGGTTCTTCATTTATCAAATGTAATTTTTAGCAGATTTAAAAGATTTAGTCCTATAGATTATGCTGACTGAACAAATTAACCAAGCCGTTGGTTACCTCTTGATATATAGCTCTAGGAAATTTTGAGTTTACCTCTTCTCCACTCTTATCAATGAGCTATAATTGTACAGTCACTATGATTTTCTGAGTACCTATTGTGTTATCTAGGCTTTTTCCTGTGATATTTTTAATTCACAAAACAATCCTATAAGCTGAGTCTGTTACTATCTCCACTTTACAGAGAAAATTTATGGATCAGAGAGATTAAAGTTAAATTTGCCATGGTTAACACAGCTAGGAAATGGTGAAGCCTGGATCCAAACCCAGGTCTGACTCCCAAGCTCATAGGAAAAACCCCAGGCCATACAACTCTCAGATATACTGTAGGAAAAATAATCCACATACATTTACAATAAGTTTTCATCTATTATTAGGATTAGTAGGTGCTCTTTTTACATGTCTTTCATGAGGTTATATCCAGTGCTTGTTTCATAATTTCAGGAGAAGTATGTGTTTATAGTACAAACAAGGATTCAAAATGTGCCCTTTGCACAAACTTATTAAGGAATTTCCCTTCATAGTGACAATGTTTATGGTACATCTTTAGGAAAAAAGTACATTTGGAAATTTCCCTCCCACATCTCTCATTTACCACACTACAATGACTTGGGAAACTGCCAAATGAGGTCTGATCATCTGTTCACTTGATAACTTAGAAGAATTGTGCATATGTTTATGCAACCAGCGCTGGAGGAAGAGTTAAGCGACCTATCAAAAATATCCAAGGTTAGCTGAGGATTTAAAAAATATTTTTTAAAAAATCTATTACCTTTATTTATTGACCCAGTAACTCTGAGGCATTCTATCTTCGATGATTCCCTAAAGGAAGGATACAAGGTACATAGTGGAACAAGCATGGGTTTTGATTCATAGACCTCTCAAACCTCCACTATCTCATTTGTAAAATGTGGTGGTTGTATTAAATGAGATATGCAAAAGCAGCTACCTCCATCCCTCATTTGCTAATTATGTTTATTGTGAGATATCTCTGGTGACTTTCACACTAAACTTGTACTTGGGAAATCAGGCTGGTTTGGAAATGGGCCCTCATTCTTATTACAGTTAATACAGATAGACTTTTTAGAGTCCAACAGACCCAGATTTGTATTCTGGCTTTGTGAACTTGGGAAAACTGCTTAACTTTAACACCTCAATTTCCTTTTCTGTAAAAAGGATAGCTGCCTCAGTTGG